CGGATCGTGGCTTGCCTTGTCACGAGTTCGAGCCCAGTACCACTAAAGACCTACCGTGTAGGGCAGCGCTGCACGTTAAATCTGTCGAGAGCTGAAACGTCCTCCCGTTGGTGTGGTGTGGTAGTTAGGAGGAGGGTGCCAGCTCAGGTGTCGTCCACGTCACTTGACCATGGTTCAAAATTACGTGGTCCGTCGCCAAAAGCTCTCGTATAGCTGAACAGTGTGACGTTAATATTCAATCAATCAAGTGGCGTTTGGGGGGAGAAAAGGAATACACAAGCAAATCCTCAGAAATAAGTAAATCTTTCAAAAACATTCCAAAGCCTTCGGAACAATTTTATGGATAGTAGTGCACAGAAAAAATCGTATTTAGAAATTACGTATATATGCGTCCGAGACAATCAACGCTTTATCTGAGCGTAACATTTATATACACCTAGCGGTTAAAGCCGTACTTTAGTTTTAGTGTCAAAGTACAGTATTATAGAATTCAATACATTGTTATTGTATGAGGGGGGCGAGGAAAATTATGATTGAGAATATTGGGTTCGAAATATTGAAAGTTTGAGAAGCACTGCTGTGGAACAATTATTTCGAGCAAAATATACCACTTGAATCTATGATTATGATGATTTTTTAAAATTCTGTATATTAGAACATTTGATATTAAGCACGTATTAGCCCGTCGGTTATTTATTTTAAATCAAACGCCATCTTCAAATGCATTATAATAATTTTCATCCCTTAACTACTGACGTCGTATATATCCGTCTCTCGCAACCAGTGCTTTAAGTGATCCGGACGTATATATACGTCATTCCGAAATATAATTTTTTTTCCTTGTACTGCTATCAGTTAAACTATTCCGAAAGTTTTGGAAATCAAAAAAATTAAACTGGCTATGTTTGCGAAGAATTTACTTATTTCAGAGTAAAATTTGCTTATTTGTGTCTATTGCCCCCTCCCCTGCTCTTTCCCCATGCACAATACACCACATACACGCGCCTACAAGAAAAATGGTGAGACTGGGGAGTGAATTGCGTAACTTTTAATCGGTAGTTAAGGAGATAATTTTAAAATTCTAAACATAAAAGGTTTTTTTTGTCGATGGATAATTATCATATCAATAAATATCATACCTAAAAACTTTTTTAAAAGAATTAGTGTTTTTTGAAAGAGACAATTTTTTTTTAAAAAGGTGGATTAATTTGCAGAAACATAAACAAATTATCTATTCACCGGAAGTAGTTTCGCGAGATAAAAAAAAGTAAATTTAAAGTCCTTAAAAAATAACTTTTTAATAAACGCATAAAATAAAATTATGTTTAGTTAAATAAAAACAATAATATCTAAGCAGAACTGCTTTATTTCAAAATCAAGGGCATAAGAACTTATTAAAACTGAAATTACTTTTTTTTATTAATACAAACGATATTCTACTACAGTTTCTTAAATTCTAAACAGTAAAAAATAAATAATTAAATATGTAAAAGAATGTTTTTTCTACTAAATTTTTCTTTAATTCCTTTATGTATTGAATTTTCTGGAAAAAAGAATGCTTGATTCTTCCCAATAGAAAATTTAAATTCCTATTAACTTAATGCATCTAAATTTATTTGTTTTGAATGAAGTTTACTGCTATACATTTCCAAAACAAATATTTCTTCCACCAACAGTTCATAAGTTAGTGATGGATAAAAACCTTACTTAATCCATTATATTATGCATTAATTCAAACAGACTTCTGAACGTTTTTTTATGAAAAGGGTTCTTACAAAACTCAAAACAAATATTTTTTCTGCTATTTTGAATATTTTTTTAAATTCCTTTACATCAGAAAGGTAATTTTTTTTATAGTTTTAAGATTAACTTTTTTTACATGTGTTAAATTTATTTGTATCTATTTTACTATATTGAGTTTTTTGACCAAAATGCTGAAACACATTATGTATTAATTATCGCCGATCTAAAATTACTTTAGATTTGCGATATTACAAGGGTTACACTTTTTTCTTTCTTTTGTAAAACATATAGACATTTTTTTCAGCACTTTTTACAGTTTTCCAGAAAAGTTTTTTACCTTAATAAAACTAATTCATCAATGTACACATATTATTATTTATGTTTAAATTTATTCCACAGAATTTAAGCACACTATTCACTACAAATATGTGATTTTTCTCGTGTATTTAATAAAACTTTTCAACTTATACAATTATTGACTTATGAAAGACAGACATAATTTCAGTAAAATGCATTGCTTTAAAAATCATTTAAATTTCACACACATTTCAATTTATTTCGTTACTTTGATAATTTATTGTTTAACTCCATTTCTATATATAGTATAAAATATTTCTGACGGCAATGTTTTACATTTATAATTTAGATGAACAGCAAATATAATGCAAGTGTAATTGTTTAACATTACATTCATAAATTTACAGTGTATTAATATTTGAAGCAAAGTATATCATCTAAGGCTTTTTTTCCTTTAAAAAATTTAAATAATGTAACAACAATGTATTTTAATTCCAAATAAATCCCATTATATATCTTTTCCGTGTGTAAAAAGCAGTGCAAGAGGTTCCAGATGATGAGGAATGAAAGAAAATATAAAGTGTAGATTTATATAAAATTACCATGAGATGGAAATAAATCTATCCATTTAAACAAAAGTTTAAAAAATTAATTTGTGCTTCCATATTCTTATTTATTTAATTTTCTTCACGTAAAATTTATTTCATATCTTTAAAAATATTTAAGAAAAAGCATCCTTATACAAAAAATAGGTATTTAGATAGAAATCGCTTGTATTTTTTATTCTTTAAAATGGCCTTTTGTTGCATCCAAGAAATACCATTGTCCCCATTTGACTATTAATTCCAAAACTTTAAATTATATTTAAAAAGAGAAAATGATAAATTTTCAGTTAAAAAATAAATAATCATGTACATCATTAGTGTAGAGTTTTTGTTACTTAGTAAATAGTTCAGTCGTGAAATTTATTTTTACTCTGTTGCGCGCCATGGCGACGATGCAAACGATTTTTAAAAAAAATGTTCTCAACTGAAAAAGTTCAAAGTTTAAGTTAGCCAGTTTAATACAACCTTTAAAATACTT